AGGGACTCAACCATGTTGTTTCATATAGTCTATAACGACATATAATTTTTGAAATGTTATGGTAGATCACAAAGCAGTGTGCGCAATGATGTAAATGTACGCATTTATTATATTTTCGTTGTTAACGAAACGAAGCGACGACCCACTCATGTTCGTATAATGAATCAGCACTAAGACTGACGAGAACGATGCTCAATCAACCTAGATTGAAGTGTACCATTCGTGACCCACAATGTTCTATATCGATTTTCCTTCAATAAACCCTTACCTATTCATTGCCCATTTACGTTCGATTTTGAATTTTGCGAATCACTAGTCCTCTACTTCGTTGGCTGTCGTAGATGACCAACGTCGCTTTTCGCTGCGTCGACTTTGACGGGCATGCGGGCTATGCAGTGTTAGGTGCGTGAGTGGGCCTGTGAAGAAAATGATAGTCGGGCAGGATTGCCATTTCTATCGCCAGCTGAAAAGCGTTTATTCCTTTCTAGCAGCTCGGTCTTCCTTGCTTATGTTTCGGCTTAGAAGGTTGTAGGGGGCTCCGGGGAAAGGCGATTGAGCTGTAGACTTGCGCCGGCCAGCTATTCTATCCTGTGTTATTCCGTCTTTTTAAGTGCGTGGACATCGGCGGCAGCCAGAATCGACCGACTGGGTGGAAGGAATTGAGTGATTTCTGACCGGTATTGGCGGATCAAATCGGCTGCTGCTAGCGGCGAAAAAAGCAAAAGAAAAAGAGTGCTTTGTCGAGTGGTGAAGAAGGATTTGGCACCAATGATGTTGCAATTGGCAGTATTCGTAGTGATGGTAAAACACACCGCAGCGCTGACCCGATGGCTCATTGCCACCATGGAGATAGCCAGAGCAGGGTCAGGACGAATCTAGGGCAAATGGGAGACGCACACTTCGCTGTAGGCCTCTACTCCCGAAAAGAGAAACGGTGCATATGTACTATACGACGCATGTAGGCTATTGGGCGACTGTCCAAGTCTACCCCTCTGTCGTGTAAGCCAAAAAGGAAAAGCGGATCTGTGACGCTCATCTTTCCATAGAGTCGTTTCTTTTTCGCCCTGCGTCCTTACCCGCTTGCTTGTCTTACTTCGTCAACGTTTCTAAAGCAGAAAAAAGATATGCTTCCTATAGCCAAGGTTATTGTTACAGCGGTCGCTTAGACAGAAACAACAAGCCAAACCAGCGAAAATGCGGCCTGCGACATTCTGATAAGCTTAGTACGCCAGCCTTATAGTTAAGTCGCCCTCAAAGGTTCTTTTTGTCTCATTCCCTTTTGCCCAGTTTACTCCTTGTTGCCCCGCCGTTTTCGATCCGTTTCCACGTTTTTTTATCTGTACTGTACCAGCGCCCCCGTCGGTCGCGCCCTCGTCGTCGTCGGTACCATCGACAATGGCAACGACAGCGGAACCTTCTCCAGCGTATCCCTTTGCTATGACAGCAAATTCTACCTGTAGCCCATTTGTCGCACGTGTGGCCTTCCATATGAACGTTCGCAGTTTACAATTTCTTAACGAAGATTCCTCCTGAAAGAGGAGAAAGTAAAAGGAAAAGAAGCCGCCCGGTATAATGTGCGGTGTGAGAAAAATCGAGTTAAAGAAAAGAGGAAAAACAGGAGGGGCAAACAGTGCGGGAAAGACGAAGGCCGTTTCTTTTTCTGTACAAATGTAGTAGTGCCATTTGAATAAGCCGCATTTGCCAACTGATGCGGTTATCTCAAGGATGGAAAGTTTGTTGGCTCGTTTCATTTGCGAAGTTATGGACAAAAAGCGTAGCAGGCTAAGGGACTCAGCCGGAAAAACTTGGCTGATTATGATCGCGGTGGTGTTGTTGGTTACGGTGGTAAGCGGACGACGAAGGAAGACAGGCAAAGCAAAACGAGCGCAGTGGGCGGTCGGTAGGCTGTAGATGATAGGTGCTACTTTAGGCAGTGAGGAGGAATCGTACCTTTGTATCAGCTAAAGCGGCAGTTAAAAATGTGGCACCAACAGAAACACTCGGTGCATTCTGGCAGGCAGGGACTGCGGCCGGAGTTGGCAGTGACTGTGGTACTTTCCTGTTACTCATTTCGTTTGGCCGCAATTCGTTGCCGGTCCACGGTAAAACAGCGTTGTTTAACTCGAATCTTCTGCGAAGAAAAAAAGAGGATAAACAAACCGGCTACGCATCGCGTATAACCTCTTACAATACGGCGAAGTAGCGAGGTAACCCTGCAACAACCTAACAGTCGGCATTGCATTAGGCTCATTTTTCCCGGCAGCAGCTGTTGGTTGTACGGCCTGATTACTGCTAACGACTATACAAAAGCCGTGACTGATGGGAAGAGTAAAATAGAGGTTGGCGTTGTCACCACTGGGTGCAATATACATTATCGGATAAGTTTAGCATTTATATTCATTGGATGATTGCTTTTCCGTACCGTTTAAGTTCGCTGCCTTGCCTAAAGATGGGGTACTTCTGCCACGCTTTCTGGTCATACAAAATAATGTAGGACTTCAGCTGCTCGCTGCTAACGCCTGAAGCTGCTGTTTCTGCAATTCGCCATATGAATAGCAGCTATGTCTTCCCAGCAAAGATAATGAACGTTTCTAAAACAATCCCTCCTAACCGGAAGCGACATTAGACAGTGCAGTAATAATGACATGTGTGGCATTTTTCGATAAATACAGGTAGAAAAGAGGTATCTCGCTTGCTTTCTTTCATCCATTTTGGCAGTAGCATTACCTATTGCTCATGCTACTTCTACTGTTGTTATCGTGTTGCTCTTGCGTCATTTTTACAGCGGAATGATTTACTCTGTTAGTAAGTACCAAGATCATACTTTACAGACGTCACTAGAGATGAGATTAAGCTGCTGCTCACTCTTATGATAATTGTTACAGACAGACCGCTACGAACAATAGACGACTAGTCATGCCATATATCATGACGACTTGGCTACCGCGCACATATCTAAGTGTATATGTTACTGACATCTAGCATGATCGCCGGCTGACAAACACAAGTAGCTGCTGTCATTAGCTGAGTGGCCTGTGACCTGCGTTCGGCCACCCGTTAAAATCATCGTCCTTAAAGGACAGGAGTGTACTACTGCACTGTGTCCCGAATGTGGCGTATTGCAAGTATGAAGCAAATAAGCGTAGCCACAAGTCAGGTAGACTGATATGTGCTCCGTTCGTTTCATACACACGTTAGCGACCACTGAAGACGATGCTGCCGACTTTCACCGTTGTGACCGACGATAAATTATCGGCATATACAATTGACAGACAACAACGACAAAAATTGCGATCAGGCTATTACGTTGCCCCACCGCTGACGTAGATTTGTTTAGAAGCAGTGTGTTTCTCCAGCAAAATGTTTTGCGAAAATTCAATTTGTGTGAGATTTGTCGTCGTCGATGTAATATTTCTTGGCTTTCTGTGAAGAACGACTTCTACTTGTTTGCAACAATCATTTTGGATTAATTCGCTCTTATTAGGCATATTTCTATGGACATTGTATATTACGTATGTGGATAATCTAGCATAAACCGTTGCAAACAGCTAAGGACAAAATAAAGGTATTGGTATATCTCATTCTATGGACAGTGATAATAATACGCTGGCAACACTGGGAGGTCTTATTAGAACAGTGTAAAACACTTATTCTCCGCAACGTTCCAAATAAGTTGGTAACTTTAATACCTTTTCGCCTCCCTTTTGTGCATGCTACCATATCCTTGGTTTTGTGCTGATTCTTTGCACGACGAAAATGTCAACAGGACAAACGATGATATGTATTGTTCATATCGCATAGCTGGCGAAGATCCCTGCTTGTCTTTTTTGCTTTCCCTACTTCCTTATTTCGCCATTATTCCTAGCCTTTTTTTCGTCGTTTTTTGGCCTTCTCTCGAATATTCTTTATTCCTTAAGTACTCCCACCTTCTATGTATAGAACAAAAGGAAAGGAGCACGTTGCTGTTCTCTGCTGCCGCCGTCTAATCCTGCCGCTTCTAACCTAGCTCACTCAGCCCTGCTCGGCCTGGCCGCCATATCCTAGGAATACTTTCACATCCCTGTGTGCGCCTCTCTTACGTGGCTACCGTCATCCCGAACTAGGCAAGTCGAGCCGCTGCTACTACCGCCGCACGCCTTGCGGCTACTTTAAGCCGAGTTTAAGCTTCGGGGGTCTATTAGAGTTAGTTCTTTTTCCCTCAGTTTCTTTATTAGTTTCCCGGCAGGAGCACTCACGCTAGCTGACCTCTTGTCTTCTCTAGTGTATTTTGGCTGGCGAAATGTTCTCTTACTCCTTAGCCACTTACAATCTATCACTGGGGCAGGCTATCCGGATAGGACATAGTGTTGGCTTGTTGAAACTGCCAATTGCTAAGCAGTTCACCGCCGCAGTGGAGGATTGCCGTGACTACTCCCATCCCGGAGCAGCTACAGAAAGAGAGGAAATGGGCACGAGATAGTGAGGAACGAGTACGTTGCAGAGCTTTTATTTCTCGGGATGAACGGAACAAGTAGCGAGGCGAGACAGCAACAGGGGAAACCCGAAGCAAGGTTGACAAATCGCGTGGGAATTTTGCTTTCTTCCTGCGCGTCCTGCTATTTCTACCGTGATCGCTGCTACTGTTGGAACTAACCCGCCAGCACTTGCAATAGCCGCCGTTATCACTCCATTTATAAAGTACTGCAGTTGGCTGTTGCAACCACAGCTCCTATCGCCCCGACGATCCCCATCATCAATTTGCACTACTAACACGAGCTTTAGCTAATTGTCGATTGACTTCATACCACAGGTTCTCCAAGTGCTACCCTGATTGCGCCTTAGCGCAACTACAAATCCATGACTTGTCCACGACGGAGCTACTCTTTGCGTCCTAACATGAACCTGTATATATATACAGATGTGACTGTCATGGGAAGAACCTTGTCAACAATTTAGCCTGAGTCGTTCGGTTATTTGAATTAATCACACCTACTTATTTCTTTCGGCATACGGTATGTATACGTTCATTACTATTATTATTATTATAACCATAGGAATCTTCGTAGCTTTTCTCTCCCAGGCATCACTGTGGGCCTCAAAGATCTCACCATCCCATTTAAGTTAGCCGTTTGTAGATGTTTGCGAAATCGTCAACTGCCATAGCCGTCTGCTTTAAAACCTTTAGCCGCTATCCTGATTTTTCGTGTAAATATAACTCGTGTGTGACACAAACGCTTGTGTGATTGTGTACAGCGTGTGTGCGTGCATGTGCGATCATTGGAGTAAGTGGGCTACTGCAGATAAACAGGTAATTGTTTGTGTGGTCATCTGCTGCTGTAACTACGAGTAGCTCCGTTCAGTTGACGAATGCATTCTTGCGTTATCGAGACTCCGACGCAGAAGACATGCTACCGCTCCCGACAAAACTACCTGTTCCTTTTCGCGGACCATCGGCCTTCGTAACATACGACAATACGTTGCAACCGATCGCATATTACGGGGGATAAAACATGGCAAACCACAAAGGAATGTGTTAACCGCAATATTGTCTGAGAGCGAAAGAAACTCGGACGGTCGATAGTTGCAGCTTGCACGCGAGAATACACGGAGGGCAGAGAGAACACGGGCTGAAGAGCAAGGAGGAGTCAGAAAGCGCCCGAAAACGCCGAGATACGAGGCCTATAGGGGCTGAATGCCCGCCTAGCCACAACCAAAACAAGCTGTGAGGCACTACAGCCCCGCCGCTGCCATCGTCGTTACCATCACCAACCTCCTATTCGATCATTCGATATCGAAGCGCGAAAGCTGATAGCGGAACTACGAAACGGAGAAGACAAGAATGTGTTCCACTCAATGCGATGAGCGGTTTGAGGCAATCATGATTTGATATAGGGTAGAGCATTCGCTCGGTAGGGACTGCCCGCGCCCCTCTCTGTCACGAATCCACGAAAATAAATAATCGTAGTGAAACAATTCGAATAGGACTATACACAAGTTATGTTACGGAGGCAAGCAGTGCAGGCATGTGCGTACAAAGCAGTACGCGTCGAACAATTAATGGTCAACGTACCGCAATATCGTTCTGAATCGAACAAACATTTGCAGAGAAAAACACTTAATAAATAAAATTCATAGACGTTAATTCTGTTAACCCACCAAGTAGCAACGACTACTTTGAAACAGCATATCCCGAAGATATATTTTCTACTTCGAAGATACGTATGTTATGCTCGATATGTCGTCAACGTATGAAACATCGCATTAACGGATATTCAAAGGGATCTTTATGCACATTTCATATCTCCGACAGGGATGAATAAGCGCCTGAAGAATTATCTGGCGCTAGTAGCGTCTCTGAGTTCTTGAGCAGGGCTTCCACCAACCAGTCGTTGTATTTCATTGTCAGCTCGTGTTTCCGTTGGCATCAGTAGCGGGTAATGGACGCAATTAAGACGCTCGGATGCCATATAAAAAGTGCGTGGTAGAAGCTGTTGGCTCGAAACGGGTCGTAGCATAGGAGTACGTGGTAGACACAGGTGCGGTTACCGCAGACGATAACATTTAGAAGGATCGTCTCTCAGTAGCCCTTGCTGGCTAGCTAAGATAGTGCTATGACGGGAGGAGAGAACGAGGAATGTCCGAGACATGTTTGCGTCGTACCTAGAGCCGTTCCACGATCCTATTGGCCCGTATTCCTACTAGGTGCCTTTTTCTGCGCTCTTTTTTGTGCACGTAGTTCATCAAAACTGTTTGCACGTCCAACGTTTGACCAGCGTCGAGCGCCGCCGCCATTCGAATGCTAAGGGCAGACCGCCGGTTCGGTTTCAGCCGACTGGTCGGATAGCCTTAGTAGGAAATGGCTCTTTTAAGAAAGGCCGAATGACCACCTGCGCCCTTTCACTCGTAGCTGGTAGAACCCTGAAGCGTTACCCTCACTCCAAGACCACCATCAGCTCGCACAGAATATATGCTTTTGAATCTTCAAACATACATGTACATACGTATGACTGATAGTAGCAGTAAATATATATATACAATATGTAACGAGTTATAATTTTCTAAATGTTCTTTCGTATAACTAATTAGAAGGACGATCGGATTGAGATTAATTTTACAACAAAGAAAATTTATTTTAAAACACAATTAAGCATATTAGAATGTAACAGAACTACAAAGGCGATACCGCAAGAAACTTCAGGCAAATCCATCTACGCGACTACAATTAATCGGACAAGAGGAATGTTTGAAACGGAAAGAACTTTTCGTGATGTTTATAGGTAACATTCTGGAAAACCTAGGACAGCGCTTTTATCATTTTTATAGTTATTAGTAGCAGTGGAAGTAATACGAAGAATGTAAGTGATCTCGCTTGTGGCCCTTTGCCTGTTAGTGCTACATGTCCATCTTGTACTCTAGCACTAGCTACCTATCTATCTAAAGTTTGGTGTGTTTTTCGTTTTGCCTCGCCCTTCGAGTTTTTACAAGGGGAGAACACTTTTTAATTCGCCGTAGCTAACCACGTTCCTGAGATGTGTGGGCTACTTGCGCCGCATCCTCTTTCCTTCTATTTATGTCACTCTTCGAATGGGCAATTATGACCATTCGATGTTTTATCGAAGTACATATCCGCGTTTGTGTACTTTGGAATGTGTCGTATTAAGATTATAGATCTGCGTTGGACTGCCAGGCATGGACAGGCGCAATCGGACCTTCTTCATTACCTAGGACTGTCACTGTGATGATTCCAACTATTCATCCATTTCCCACAGCCATTTTTCAACGGGCTATAGGCAAAAAAGAAAAGCCGTAAATTAACGGAGTTAAATTTTTTACTGGGCTTGATGATAGACTTTGTCCACTCTCTTAGTTATCCTACTAGGCTAATCAGACAGACAGAGAAAAAAGGCCCCTTGTCCAACCAAGAGAACGACGAAATGTCCCATTCTTTTTGTAGGTCACTTAGCCTTATGGGCTTCTTCGCCAATTCGGCTACTAGGTAACGCGGGAGTACTTTGCAACTATTCATGGTCCTTTGCGTTGGCTATTTGTGAAACTCGCATCTGACATGCTACTTATATCAATGATATAGGGTAGCATGCAAGAAAGAAAATAGGATCTAAGTCTAGTGGGGCCGACATAGTCCTTATAAACCATATCAAGATATTTGAGCGATATCTGTGTTTCTGTAGCCAGAGACACCCAGGGATACTAATAACCTTTTTTTAAGCTGCTCCAAAACGCATTTTTCGTATGAGCCTAAGCATAATCGTTATGTTTTGTCAGCCACAGCTTTCTCATTTTCGTTCGCGGTACACCTTTTCACTAACTTTTCCGATACTGTGGCCATCATAAACTGATATCGTTCTCTTCCTGTCTCTAGGTCTTCAACGAAGTCTCATCTCCAACCTCATTGCTCGCTTCCCGCTTCCGCTCAAGCTTTGCAAAGTTTTTGTCATTGCTCCACTTCTATGAAAAAGCCCCGTTCAAAATAAAGGCGGGCTCAAGTCTTTACGAGCACTCATCTTGTCTGGGCCGTCCTCTTCTATGTATAACTGTTTCCTTTTCTTCAACAAAAATGAACCCTCCTTCAGACTTACGGCTTTCTTTACCGCATACATTCTTTGGCAAGCTTGTCCTTAAGGCCAAAAGCTTACGGCGCAGCCCTAATCCAAAACAGATTACCCCTGGATGTAAAGTTTATCGCTCGCCGAAACGACTGGGAAAGGAAGATGGGCCTTTGTGATCATGTTTGTCGTACGCACAGACCGCACTTATTTCTAAATAAATAGACAAAGAAACAGGAGAGGGTTCGTCCTAGACGAACGTGTTTTTTTGTTGATGACTCGGTAATTGCTGTGGAAAGCATTCTGTTCCTATTGAATTTTTTTCTCGTTAACTTTATTGCTCGTAGAAATCACGAATGTATGATTTTTCATCATACCTTATATCTTGTTACATCTTATTTCTCGTTCTTGTTCTGTTCGCACGCGTTTACTTGTCCTGTCTTCCTGGAAGCTAAAAATGACAAAAAATAATGCCGTGAAGAGGGGCCCATTTAGTACAGCTCAGACTGTCGATGCAAAAAGTCATAGACACAAAGAAGTTGCCATACGGAAAAATCTATTGTCGTTATTATAATGAAATTAAAGTCAGCACTCGACTAAAGCGGACTGCGATTGAAAAAAGGGGATTACAATGTGACTGAAGATGCAAAGGCACTAGGTGCTCTCTTAATATTCCCATATATATATGAACCAAACTGTGTCTGATTCGTTTCAAAGATCGTGATGGAAAACGTCATCAGATCACTAATGTAATGTTACCTTACTATTGCCGATAGCTTTTTATGACGACTGATTAGCGCACCACTCATATAAATACAAGGTAATGAAGCTTGCATTTCCCTGATGAACTTGAATTTCTTTTGAAGAACTATGAAGTGGTTATTTATATGACAAGAGGGTGGTAAATAAGACAGAATTCAGTTTTTTCCTGGAACGGATATGGTCTACTTAGAACACTGACGTCGCAGCAACAGGTTACTTTCTTCTCTTTCAGGTGCACCAAGGAAAAAGCCAGGAGTCAACTTTCAGGAAGATCTGAATGCCGTAGTAAAGTCTTACTATTATAGAGTGTCTAGAACTCTTTCTTAGTGCGAAAGCACTGGTGAGTAATGAGACTATGACAATGTAAATTTTCATTTACTGCGGCGCATAGATCTGCTAACTTCAGTTTAACCTTCAAGTAAAAGTGCCCACTAAACCAATGTCGCTATTTAGGAAACATGTATTTTAAGGGTTTCCACAAGTTTTAACAGCGCAATGCTTGCATATGCCTTATTTATAATAAATATCAATTTCCTACAATAATATATTTAAAAAAGAGGTCATATTGGTAGCAACTGTTTTAATTTATAATGAAGCTTTTCTCTATGATCGACTACCTATAACGAGTACGACCACGGTCGTTTGACCTACAGAACAGTCTTTGGCGTGGTCGCCGAGTTCTTTGTTTCCACTTCACTTTCTAAGCATGCACGTGTATTCAAGGCTGCTAGATTCCGTGTTGAGCACTAGTTACTGATTAGGACAGCGGTCCTGTTTCCTGCCCACTACGGACCTGGGCTGCTGCTCCTAACTGCTACGTACACTCGTGTGATGAGATGTTAAAAGGCCTCGACTAATTTTTTTTTAAAAAGAGTATGTTCACTAGGAAAGCCTTACTCAGACTCTTCTAGCAGCTCTGTCCTGGCCCATCAGTCTTCCAGTTTCAACAGCGTCGTTCATTCGTATTGTGCAAAAGCAGGCACAAAGAGACATCTAAAAGGACACACAAGGGTGGACGAAGAGGAAAGAAGGACAGGTCGAAACATCTAAAGCGGATTGCGAGGTAAGGTCTTTCAAATTGCCAAAATAGGCGAAACGACACCTACAAACGTCAGAATGGCTATTCGTTGTGAACTGTATTGCACTTCTTATATCGCTTCCGGTATTCCGACAGTCATATATCGTGGTCTGTGGCATTGATCTTACTGCGACTATTAGCAATTTTCTTTAGTCGCGGAGACAAAACTCCTGCCTGGGGAAGCCAGGGCTTCACAGGCGGCACATCGCTATAGGTGAGCAAAGATACTGGCGTTCGTCGTGGGCATCGTACTGTGGAAATATTGGTATAAACAAATGAAGGTTAGGAGTTATTATGATAGGTAGTAAATTATAGACGCCGTGATTAAGCAGATTATGTATGCATTTACTACAATAAAAATAAGAATAACACAAAAAAAATATGCAGGATTTCACTGTCGCGTTCGTGATGATGAGTTCAAGCGAAAAATTTCTTGCCTCTAAATACGGACATATCTGGCATAGCACAGCCATTGTCGTTTTTATCGTACCGTTCAAATACTTCGACTGACAGATACACGATTTCTGCGAATCCTTCAATTGGACATGCAGCAAAGGACGCTCACACATGCAAAGGCTTCCAGACCAGAGATAATAACTCCCGTTACATAGTTCTTGTTGTTTGATTCTTGATGCCTCCTGACGGAATACGTTCATTCATCGAACTTTCCAAATCTTCCTTTTTTGTATGACTCCTAACCGCGACAAATTTACTCGCTAAATTGGCGCCCTTGTATTTTAAAGCAGACGAAACTGAATCTTTAGATTGGTCGATGAAGCACTCATCATAGTTCACAGTAAGCGCGTACGCACTATTGCGTCAATAAAATTTTTCTGCAAATCGCTTAAAAACGCTTCATATAATGTACTGTTCGTGAGCGACTGGGCATCGAGTAACATTATACAGGTAAAAAAAAATGAGACCTGTAAATTACACCAAACGACAGCCTCATTCTCAAACATGGGCCAGACGAGCAGGTATGAACCGATAAGAAACAGGCATTGAACTATATATGACAAAATTCGAAGTAATAGCGTATTAGGTCCCTTAGTATGAAACGAAACATCATAAAATCTAGGTTTTCAAACCTTTTCCACACGTTTAGTTTGTTATTTTTAATCGAAATGTATACCATTTAATGGTAATTTACTTACCCCGCTGATGGGAATGTCTGCGGTACGAGAGTCGATAGAATCTCAAAAAACAGTTTAGACATGTTAAAATCCGAATAATTGTTCTATTGAGACGCCGTTAAGATTTTGAATCGAGTGGTAATGTGTGGAATCAATATCAATAATTCCAATTGTAACTCTTGTATTCTTTTTAACATGATTTTTGCGGGGTGTAGTTCAGCATTGAGTTGTGTGATAAAATCGATTTCCCCTGTTCAGTACCCTTGACTGCTACGAAGTTTTTTCTTCCAGTGATCTACAATGCACTTCCGCCTTAATCGACAAACCAGGTCTATAAAACCTTCGTCAATAACACCTGTATAAGATCACCAAACACCATAAGCCAATGTAGCTATACATTCGCTCTAACGTGTTGTTTCGCTGGTTCTGTTGCATTCATTTACTAATATAACGATCCGCAGAAAATTAATCCTTTATCATAAATGACAATCCGGTGCAAGAATAAGTTACTTTTATAACGTAAGAGCAAAGAGAGGCAAGCGCCTCTCTGCTTTCGATTCTCGCTTAAATCACGCGATACCAATTTATCCAATTTTTTTACCCTGCTAATTTGACCGAAGTAAATAAGTAACATTTTATATACGCCAAACCTTAGTGCTAACACTCTCGCATTTTGAGACAAGTTGGCTTTCACCAGAGTCAACTCTTCGTGGGTCACCTTTGCAGGGGGGTTTTACGAGACATTTTCAAGCTCCAAATATTTTAAGCCAATGGTTTTCGGTGTTTGTAGTTCTAAAACCTCTATCGATTTCGACGTTTACATTGCGAGCTGTTTTTGCCGCTATATTCCAAAAAAGAACTCATATTCGTAAAGCACTTGAATTCTCTATGGATCACTTCAACTCGCCTACAAAAAGCCCGAGTGACAACATCTGAGTAAACGGTCCCAGATTGTAAGGAGTACAAGAATCCAAAAAAAAGGAAGTGTAACAAAGTGCCATCTATTAAGGAATATATATAAAACATGGGAATGTCTATTATGATCTCTGAAACTCTTTACCACCTCTTCTTTAATCGCCATGCTTCATCCGCGTCGTTTACTGTTAAAATTACGATCGACCGTATTCATACTGCTGCAAACCCCACTCTCAATTCGAGACTAACCGAAAAAAGGGTCAGTTAGTCGTCCGCTTTTTAGTGCTCGAATTTAGCTTTTGTTGTTCAATTTGCTTTCCAAGGTCATCAATTATTCTTGTCTCACTACGAGGCCACAGTACTGGCGAGGCCTAACGGTGCTTCGTAATTAGTTGACTAAGTGACGCGGCTGTAACCTCGTTTGCTAATCATCGATGGTGGCCCTTTTTTTGCGTTCCATCGGTTCTACGTTTTAACGCCGGGATAAGGGCAGCCAAGTGGTCAAAGGCCCTATAGTGGTGATGATGTACCACCTCCATTCACTCAAGCAAAAATTCTTTTAACCTTAATATTTTTACACATCCATTTATACTGTATATTGCTATTGTATCATATCAAACTAGACATATCAACTGGAGATAGATTTTGCCTCCCTTTGTTTTGTAAATGGCGGCCTTATATGTATGTTTAAGAGATTACACTTCTCCCAAGCAAACTCGATATCTGTAAGACCGTCTCAAGGTGGCAAGAGGTACCAGAGCAGCTACATGTAGCGGGAATGAGTTACGGGAAAATCACTGTTTTCCGACGCACGCGTAACATACATTGGAAAACTGAACATTTTGTTATAGCGGCTGTATCAAACGGATTAAATCGCGCTGACTTCGATAACGTCCATATACGTAGTGTGATTGGACGATATGGTGCTACTAGAATGAAGCCAGTTAACCCATAGAAATCTATTGCTCTGCATAATATCCAGTATAGAGAGGGACGCGTCCAAGAATCGCGCACGCAATAATCGGCTGTTGACCTCTCATTTTTGAATAGGTGGTGCAATGTTTATATGCGGAAAGAAATGGGGATTGGCTAGGAGTATACCGATCGGTAAGATGAGCGAATATGCCGGACGTATATACTTGCGGTTATTGGTTTTCACCGCTTGGCTTGATAGAACAGCAAGAAGCTACTGTCTTTATCGGGCAATCGATTCGAAATTCGGCCGGCACCGCCGCCTAGGTTCGCTAGTTTAAACTTAGTAGACAAACATTTCGTTGTTCCTTCTAAAGAAAGCAAAAATCACTCACATGGTCACCAACAAAGCTTTGATTGGTGAAAGCTGAAGAACTTCAAAAACTAAATACAGAAAGCAAGTAAGCAGGCTTTCTAGCTAGATTAGATCCTGCTTGTTAGAAGAAAAAAGGGGGCGCTCTAAAAGCTTTGGTGTTGCCCTTTCCAATATCCCATTCTTCCTGATCAACAAGGGATTCACGTCACTATAAAGGAGCAACGGCAGCATTCAAACTCCACTTCTTCAAAAGAAGGAATACAGGACGTCAATCACATCGTATCACATCCGTTTTCTCATACTGTCTTCTCCTTGTTGTTCGCCTTTTTTCTTTCTGTCTTCGCTTCTTTTATTTGGCTGCCTTTAACGACACTCCCTTTCAGGATATCATGCTTCCTGTCAACAGTAGCCTGATCACCACCATATTTGTTACGGGGCCCAACCGGCCAAGGCCCGCCGCAAGTGAGCCACAAAACAACGCGACGGAATAAAGGAAGCAGAAGCTCTTCAGCTGAAGGCATCCCTTTGCGTCGACGATTTCTATCTTCTATGTGACCGAAAAAGGAATGACCTAGTGTTCAGTAAAAGCGAAGAGGAATGTGTTTCCCTTGATGTTATATGCCTTCTAATGCGGTTGTTACCACGTTGCCTTATACTACTTCTGAGAGTTCATATTGCCACAGCTTAGTTATATAATAGGAAGCTGTCGCTGGTGCTATTCCTTCTGCTCATCTTTTCCGGGTGTTTGACAAGGACGGAAAAGAGGGGGTGAGGGGAAGCGCAACAAAACAAGAGAAATGTCAAATATGAGGCGTACAACACAAACAAAGCTGGTGCTAAAGTTACGTACCAAGTGTTGTTCTCTATGGCGGTAAGATTGGCTCGCCTCAACAACAATGAAAGACAACAAGAGAAAACCTTTTCGCAAGGAACCACGAGGTGCTGTTCTCCTTTTTCTAATACTGGGTATATATCGAGAATTCAACATGTGCTGTATTGGAAGCACTAAACTTTCAGCAATAAATACTTGAACGTAATCGACTCGATTGATACCGATGCCATATATATATATGATCCTGACGGGCTCTGCATGCAGCTTCATCAGACTACCCCTATGTTTGAATTTCAAAATAATGACAAAACAATGTTTGAACTCATTTTACACAGCACTACGTTGTGCATCTTTGCACGCCGAATCCTATAAAACAAGCGAGGCATGATGCAATGCTCTTAAAGAGGTTAAATGTTAATTATGATATTCACTGGACTGAATAAGCTACCGTGTTTGTTATGCGATGGTTGGCCCTGCTGCAAGAATTCGCCTCGTCAAGCACCCTATACTCTGCTTGTGGCTAAAATGTTTTTAGCAGCTTTCGTTTCCTTCCTGAATATACTCCGTCCTTGTGATCTGCGTAAGTCTTCATGCAGATATATCTTTGTAAGTGAAAAAGTCGTGTCTTACTTCGAAGTACCTCTCCAGTTTATTTATCTTTTGTCGTTGGTGGCTACTAACGATAACTCCACACCCTGAATCTTTTCGATCCATTTACGACAGCGGCCTCAGGTGGTATACTGCAACGACGGTATATTGAGAACGAAGGCTTGAGCAGAAAATTCTTAATTAAACGTCAGTCACCTTACGATAGGCACCGTATTACTGCCGCACTTAATCTGCCTCTGATGCGATTCGATGTGCAAGTTTAACCTGCGAGAAATTCTTTTGGCAGCTCCTCTACCCTTTCGACTATGCTGCGGACTATGTACGATACTGCAACGGAACAAATAGGGTTTCCTGAATAAAAATCTGTCGATAGACATCTCCCTCTCAAGTTAGCTTGCCTGGCTGAACACGCAGGGGAGAAAGCCTAACGGCTATTGAATGTAAAAGAATGTTCGGAAATCATCTTTAAGAGGTTAGATCACTGCATCAATATGTCATCATGCTGGCAGAGTCAAAATAATCATTCCTTTAAATAATGCTCGTATAAAGAAAATCATAAAGAACGTAGGAATTTGATTTTCGGTGGGAGAGGTCTCCATTAGCATGTGACAATGTTAAATTTAGGAGGATAAATTGAAAATCTCTGAGCATTACGTAGTAGCTATCACCATAATCGTCGTTTTTTTTAAGCTCAATCAAATTTTTTACGGCCTTGATAGAAAGCTAGCACTATCTTTCTGAGGTGAATCAAGTGTGTATCGAATTTTTTCCTCTAAATTTTTCTCAACTGCAACTTCGTCCCTCGATTCCCGCTCCCATGAATACCACTAGCACTGCAACGTTCGGCCTCCTATTGTTATAACGAAATGAGTTGTGCATAGTGTTTGAATGGAGCGCGGGAAGTCGATCCGTTATCTCGCTGTAAGCTTTATTTCGTTTACTGGGCTCCATGGCTCTTCTTTCATTTCAGATCAATAGAATCATCATATAAATGTCGCCACTGGCATTTGATGCATATCAGAGAAATATATCAGACAAGACAGATTCCGAAGCCAGATACTAGATAAGGCGAACCTCCATAAGACTGCCAACATTGAAATCGTTATCGTGACAAAAAAGTACGTTTGCATAACATAAGCACATTTTGTATGTAGGCTTAATATACCATAATGTAATCAAAGTTAGAAATGAGTCGACTTTGTGATAGCAGACGTGTGAGATTAGTCACGAGAAATATGGTATAACATCCACGGGTGAAGCAAAAGGAAGATAATCAACAATTCATACAAGCTGCTGCTGCTGCTGCTTCTTCTATCCGGGTTTACAGAAACTTTCGGCACTCATTCAACAGACTAATTTATTTGTCTTTTCAACAAATCTTCCTGCCGCTACGTAGCAATAATTGACTTTAAACATGGAAGAATAGGACCGCACTTCGACTAAGAGTATAATGACCAGTTACCTGTGACCCAATCTCGTTGCAAACAAAGGCAAATTATAATACAGGCAGTGCTGTCATCCTGGAATGTGAAGGCAAGTCGACGAGAGCATTAATGAGCCTATATTGAGACAAATCTTTTGGGAAAATTCATAGCAAAGGTGCTTGGCACATAATACCAGAGTACACGATCGGTGTGTCTTGATCTTTAATTAGTAGTATGTGTTTTTCCTTGCATGAATTTCCCGGCCGTGTCCAGATTGTTTGCGATATTCCCCATAAATACTGCCTTGTGCATCGAATTGCCTAGGTTAGTTTCAGCTTAACAACATGATGCCATTAAAGTAGATGAGCGAAGCACAAGGTTGCTTTCTCTTATTTCGGTTGGAATCATCATCCGCATTACGTACTCAGACGAACAGCCGGTTTTACGTCTCAGAAAACTCTACCGTAGCACCCCACCCAAGTCAGTAGACGACTCATTTCAGATCAATTTCAATAACAATTTCAGTGCAGTAACATGTTCTGATGTTAGAATGAAAACAACATAGGTATCGTGCTACATAAAGTATCTTGCACCAGACTTTTGTAAGTAGAGGAAAAACAAGAGGTAGCGAATTTTTAAAAAATAGTTATATCGCTTACAATTTCGCTGCAGGTTGTCTTGTCGCGACTGAAAGAAGATAATCGAGTCGCTCGTTATGACATGATGCTTTTATGCAGCCCCAGTTGACGCGCGCGCTACATTCGCAAGCAGCCTTGCTGACTATTACCTCCCTGCACGTTTTGCACAGAAGCGCAGCATACGTATTGTCAAGAAGAACGAAGAAAAATATAGCTGGCCTCGTAGATCACAACTGGACGAGAGCGATATCTTCTCTTAAGTGACACATGCTTGTGTCAGGGGCTTACTGTGTAACGGTACATATAAAGAAGCAAAGATTCAACGACGACATCGTTGTCAGCACGCAATACGCAGCGTATGCGGAATGAAAGTTTGGGAATATATCAGTAAGTTCGAATGGAAGGAAAAATAGGGTCGCTGGCAGTTCCAGAAGAATCGTTAGACAACATGGACCATAGCAAAAATACACGACAGTACAATACGGATAGGGAACGTACGAGCAAGCCGCACTCTTTCGCTGTTGCTGGGTTCGCATCCTCTAAACGCGGTTCAGCGACTAGGGAAATCGTCGGCTATCCCTACCAGATGTTTTATAGGACAATTAGCGCCACTAAAGGTGCTTGTACTGATATCCCTACTTACGTAAGGCATATAGTAAAAAAAGGGGCGCAAGAACAGTGCGCGCCATGCGGATGAGGGTCTTGGGCACAAGCCGGCACAGAGAATGAGATTCTGCTCGTCATTTTTATAGAGAAAAACTCTATTAAAAGTATGAACAGTACCCACGGTATGCGTGCGCTAGTGCACAATACATTAATGAGATACGATAGGATATTATGTGAAGTTTCTGGCTTAAAAATTACTAGCCAGTTGGGGGCAGCGCTTTTTAAAAGCTTCGCTAGACTGTCATTAGCAGCAGCGACAGCAATAGATGCATAAAAAAGAAATCATTCGCAACATTGTACAATCCACCGCCATTTCACTCAATACTAAATTGTGACATTTACTGGAATGATGAAACACCTATGTATTTTCTATGCACATAATAAAATAACGCGAGTTATGTTAAAATCAAGCCCAAATTTAGAAATTCAGCATAGATACGAAGATATTTAAGATATAAATTTATATACTGTACGTATAGTTGTCAAATATGGGTATCCGAATGCAATGGAGCTTACATCCTCTCTAGGTACTCTGGCGACAGGTTTAAGCTGCAAATTCGTGTGCTTTGGGTACAATAATGGACTTCTGCGATTTAGTGCTAGTGATAAAATGAAAATTCTAATTCTAGCGAATCCTTTAGGTATATTTCTGATATAAAACTTGTATGAAGAAGTGGTGACTACAAGTGCTATATATATATATATATATCAGGTCGCTATAGGTTGAATGTGTATGTGAGATATGTTTAACCTAAAAGTTTCGCCTTGTTATTATTTTGTCGGTTGAAAACAACACAAACAGGCAGCGAACATCTTTGCGGCTGTTTTTTATTGTACCTGAAAGGCTGTTTCGTAACTTGTTAATAAAAACTGTCCATCGTTTAAATATAAAAAACATGCACATGGTTTTAGCTTTGTGCCCGTTTATCTACAGTCTAGTAACAACAGCGGCGGGAAGGCAGGCCAGGCAGAGACTATTTGCTTCGAAAAAAACTTGCCTCGATACTATTACGGACACTTATGCGTAACAAGCAAGAATAAATCTTCTTTTATTCCAACTTTTTATCGGCCTAAGACAGTACGCATCTGTGCGATCTATAGACAGCGTTCGTTCTTTTAATTCTACGTACCCTTACTACAGTTGGCAATTCTTTCTATACCATTAGAAGCTTATTCACCTTATTTTTGTCTAACCAACAAGTATAGTTTACTTACCCGAGTGTGGTCATGGTGACGATGGTGTACCAGAACGCGGCCGGAATCGAGGTGAACTCGGTCTCCTCGACGTTTTTCTCGGCGTAGAACATGACAGTGGCGAAGATGATGATGGCCATGGCCAGCGAGAACACCAGGAAGCCCAATTCGGACGCGCATGATTTGAGCGTGTAGCCCAAAATGCGCAGTCCTTGCGAGTGTCGTGAAAATTTGAAGATGCGGAAGACTCGAAATACTCGAAGCGTGACGAACGCTCCTGACACATCACCGTTGTCCTTAATGCCGAGCCCGATATAGTAGGGCATGATTGCTACGACGTCGATGACGCTCATCACTGAACGGACGAATTTGCATCGCGCCGGTGCGGCGTACAACCGTAGAAGATATTCTGCCGTGAAAATCATCACGCACGCGGTGTCCAGACAGAAAAAGGCAACCTTGTAACTATCACCGCACGATTTCTTCTCGCCCGTCCCAGCATCAATACCACAGGGCACTGTCTCCACTACGTTAGCTCCAACTGACACGGCGATAAAGAAGCCGGTCACATAGTAGAAGACGAGAGCTGCGGTACTGGTATGCGGGTTTTCGAACGCTCTCCACATACGCTGGCGCAACGTCGAATTGGCCAGCTGAGTCTGCTCGTTGCCCTCTGATATTTTGTCGTCGAGCAGGCGTTCAGCATTCTCCCTCTTTCTGTCCCTATAATCCTCGTAGCAGCAGTCCCCGATCACGTCGGGGACTATGCCGAAGAATGCTAACTCTTCATCATACGACATTAAACATTCGTGTTTCGGGTAGTGCAGCTTGCCCGTCCGATAGTAGTTCAGGATATGCCGGAAGATATCTGGATCCCGATCGAAGAAGTACTCTTTGGTTTCCTCGTCGTAGAAAAACTCGCGCTCGTTTGAGCCGAGTAGTGTGTCGGGAAACTTTTCGACGGTGTTTCGCCACGTCTCAAAACGCCGGCCAGACACATTAATGATGAATTTTTCGTCTTCTTTTTTCCGTCGCTCCCGGGTTACTGGGGGCGCTGGTAAAGGGTTGTTGGCGATGGGTACCCAACCGATGGCCGCTGCCCGGGCGAACGGTAGCCAAGCTGCTACCGATGCCATTTTATCTAGCTGGTCCCTCGGTTTGTTGTTGTTGTAGTTAGATTTGTGCTATCAGCAACAGTAATATTAGCCTTTGTCTAGGTGTCTGTTTGTCTATCTGACCAGCAATGACGAGAACTCTAGGTTTTAATTCGTGGCTTTGTATCCTTGTCTTTTTTTCTCTCAACGTTGTTGTCGTTACTCGTGGTGATGCACGATAAATCTGCTTCTACTAGTATATTATGGTATATTGTACTGTATATATACTAATAGTTACTTGTAGTAATCGTAATCTTATTAGCAATAGTTAGAGTTGTTTTTGTTGCTTTTGTTGCTGTTGTTGTTGTTGTTGTTAGGTAGAATTAGAATAATTGCTATTATTGCTGTTTCCTTCGCTTTCACTCCTAGGTTTCTTCTTGTTCTTGGCCTTTCTCACTGACGAGGCACGAGAAATGTACTTTCGGTATATTTGCGATGTATCCGTACCCGTATATGTATAGAATTATACATTCATATGTATGTTTGTGTACAGTTCGCTGAAACCGTTACCGGATGAATATATGGGCAGCGCTGCATCTACAGAAAGTTTGTCAGTCGCCAAAAAAAGGGGTGTCAGCGTGCACAGCCTTAGCAGTCGTGACGGCGTCGAGGTAAACGTCAGCAATAGCAGTAACAGCAGGTAGTAGTTGTCCTAGCAAAACTGGGAAGGTGGGCTGATAAAGACTGGATCTGGCGGGATTGCACCGTCACAGGAAGCTTTCAAGCACTTTTTTTTTTTTTACTTTTCTCAGTGGTCCAGTTGTTCCAGTTGTTTGTTGTTGTGTGAGCTGTAACCGTCCTAGGTTGTAGACTTTTCACATCTGCTGTGTTATCGTCGTAGTACTCCTCTAATGGCCTTTACGACGCTTGTACTCTGCTTGCCGGACGGCTGTATACTGGTTTGCTAGTGACCGGCTAAGTGTGTCGCAACCCCACAGATATATCTCTATATCAGTGTTGGCAGCTGTAATAGTGTTTGGCGACTGGTAAAACTTGAGACGGCGAATGTTCAGTGAGGCTTGAATTGGATAGCTGAATCGGCACAGGGGCAGAAGGCAGCCAAGAAGTTGAACGATGGAACATTCAAGGGGTCGACGTCATCTTTTCCAAAGCTTCGTCTTCGCTTGATTGCTGATAGAAATATTGGTATGATCGCTAATAATAAGTCGCGCTGTTCAACGAATCGTTCGAGTTGTTGTAGATATCGCAGCAGAAATTGATGGCAACTGACTTGACAATGGTCACAGCAGCAGCAGCAGCAGCAGCAGCAGCAGAAATGGACTTCGTCGGAAGTGGAACTTGAACCTCCTCTTCCGAATTGGCTCGGAGGCATGTCGCTTACTGCTGCCACACTTCGCTGGCTTCGTGCAAACCTCCGGACGGATATTCTCGTCGACGATCGAGGGGATCACATAGGATCTACGCGGGCTACCTACGCGACGACAACAACGAGTCGTGCAATACAATTATCTGACCTAGCTCTTGCTTGACGATGCCTGCCTATGATGACATGGCTGATCGATTATTGTCAATCAATCACGTATACAGACATGTCCTCTCGTTGTTATAGCTTGTTATACTAGCTGATGGTTATCGGTACGTAGTAGATGTAGTTATTTATAGGTAAAGCTACTTCGTAGCAGCACAAGCCAGACACCACTTTCACTTTCTTTCTTTCTTCTCGTTTGTATCGCCCCCAAAAGCCGCTCTCTAACAATTTGCCTATTTAAGCGCGCTGGAAATCTCTAGTTCGTTATGCTCGTTTTGGGTATAGGTTGCTTCATGCTTTTCTTTTTCAGTCTCTAGGATGGTTTAATGATTTCGTGTTATCGCATATATGTGCTTCTACGTATGTTTACTTTTTGTTAAATTTACCGTCTACAGCGAAGCAGCGTAGCTAGACTGCGCTTGGGAGGGGAACGGCATACGATAGGCTGATGATAAGAGTCCACGATGATTAGATTCGATATGGATGCGGTAATCCCCTCGATAACCTCTTTGTGACGTCTCTCCCCTCGCTGTCGTGTTACGGACCTCTCACTCGTTACCTATTTGTCCTATTTGTAGACGAATTTGTGGTCGCTTTTACTCACTCGAGATGATACATGAATGCTTGATCGGTTTGATAAAATAATAATGTTAACTGGAACCTTCGATCGGTGGCAATAGCTATGGTGTACCTTACGAGTGGCGTCAAGCAACAGTCTTGTACTTTGCAGTCCAGAGCTGACCAAGCTGATGACGGCCTGACGTTGACCTTTTGCTTAGTTAGAATTGTACCACGCTCGTTCTGCAGAGCACCATAACCGAGGTTCCTTGTCATCGAGGGGGTGTAATATTGGTAAACTGTTGACGGGCAGGGCGTAGCCTACTTTTCGACATGTAACTTTCCTAAGCTTTCCCTTTAATCCTTCCTTAGATGCACACTGATGACTGGTGTTTATCTGAGCTGGACAAAATCAGTAATCAGACGATTTCTCAAGTCACTTCGGATGTCTCCACGTGTGCCTTAGACAGACACCGCCTGTTTTTCGATGTTTGTATTGCTTATCCTTTCTGTTTCACTTTATTCCTCTAGTAGCAAGTGGTTTCTAAGCAGTTGGAAGTACGTAGTAGTTCCCAGTCATTACAGGTTCACATATCTACGACGCACAGTGGAAAATGTTAGCGTGACCAACGCTTGATTCTGGGATCGGGCCGGACCCCTTAGTCGATAACTGATCCAATTGATCGTCGATGCCATTGCGCACAAGTGAACCTCTGGGATGGGGACAGCAGGATTGCCTTCTTCAGCCGACTGCCTTTATTATGGATAGCTTTCTTTTCTGTAATACTAGTAACAATAGTTGAGTTTGATTGAGCAGTCACTTAATCACTAGTGAGATGGTAGACCGGAGGGTAATGAATACCGAAATGTAAAAAACGTGACCGGCACCTCTTTCGAGGTCAGTTTTTATTACGGTTGTGTTTCGGTGTCTCTGGTAGTAATAACCGTCGGGCTCGTAGTAGTGCCTGTGATAGGAGACAATTTATTTTTTGTTGCGGTTCTAAACAGCGCTCCTGATTGAATGCAGGGCCTTGTCTAAATATAATATTTGGCTTGTTCTTTAGATCGAGCACTAACTGTAATTTAATTAGACAACAGTTGTTCCTCAATAGCCACTTCAGGCAGTTATTGGAGTACTCGAAGTTGGCCTTGTGGTTGTTGCCGTTGATGGTACCGCTGAAGAACGCACAAAAAGAGACTGATATCAGTAACAAATAGACGGAATAAATTACTGGCGGTGACGTTGCTGATTCCTTAAATAATGATTTTTGTTTACCTTTTTCCACAAACTTTCACTTTTCACTTTTAGATAACAACCCTTTTTGGTTTTCCGTCAATTTGCTTCTTCGTTTTCAGTGATGACACAGGGTCCGTAGTCATTACACTCGTCACATGCACACCGGTACAACACAATAAAACCGCGAACAGCACAACGACGCCGGGATAATTGCGGTACTGGGGTAAATACGGGGGATGGGTAGAGGGCAAAGGGGAAAAAGGTAATTAAGATGTATTCCACACTTAGCGAAGCCAATTTAAAGTCGTTCACAACTCGTCCACAATTAACAAAGAAACCATATTCAATCAGTAGTGTTTAATCCATTTTGGGCAAAAACCGATATCGGACGTTTCGCGCATGTAAATGAACAACAATTTGCAATTCCTCCGACGCGTCTTCACTCGTAGCAAACGAATAAATAAGCCTCTGTACTGTTAGTCTCGTCTCGATTCATTCGTCTGCTTTTTGTTTTCGATTGCAGTCGATGTCGCCCCGCGGCGGCAGCTGGTGACAGTGCTCGTTGCTCGAACCGAAGCCGTGCGACAGATTTCGCGTCGTCGTCCCCCCCCCCCCCCAGATCGCCGTGGGGCATGCGACCGTCTAACGGGACGATGTCCGTGCTAAAGTACGCAATGTCATCAATCTCAAGACGGCGACAGCAGTAACACGACAGACCTTCACGTTAACTAATACATGCACGCATACGCGGTGACAATGGAAACGACTGTACAGCAAGACGAAGCTAGGACGGCAAGGATGAGCCAATATCAAACAGCATCCTAGAACCACCGACCGTCTCGTTTTCGTTGTCAGCAAAACAGACCACGACGATGCTGCTGCCGGCGACAGTGAAATAACGGCCTGCAACAAATCTACCTTTGTGCTTGGATCATTCGTTAGATTAGCGTTGGCTAGTTGACTCACTGGCCGATCCAGCAGCCAGAAGAGCTCGCTGGCCAAGCAGCCAGTAGTGATAGTTGCTCGAATCGATGTGTCGTGCCCTGCAGTAGATAGGCAACCAATGGACTGCAGATAACCAACCGGCAAAGGCGCTTTTGTTACAGTTACTTCTGTCGCTGGCCTTTAGCAACCTTCTCGGCGGCCGTAGCCAAAACGTGGAGTCCAAAATACCGACCTCTAAGTAGCCCGGACTGTCGCCGCTATTCTACTCCCTACGGAAGGAGACAACAGCAACGCGTTGTCGTCCTCCGCTCGAGTTGCAGCAGCAGCAGCAGCAACAACGGAACGAATTTGAATTGTGTTGTGGCCGTCTGCGCCTGTGACCGTCGCTCTGAATGTGTAAGTGTATATGGGAGAGTTGCTTAGACGAGCCGGCTCCGGTCTCCAGGAGAAGGAGTGAGTCAGCTACTGCTGCTGCAGCTACGACTGCCGCAGCTCTCCGACGGCGTACGGCTCTAGGATTCGTTCAAGCAGTCCGATGCCGGCAGCAATGTCTAACCAACTCAATGACGAGTAGGACGGAGCTATGGGGGTTACCATCTATAGCGGACTGTGTGTCTCCTGCTATTGATGCTGCTATCACCTTGTTGTTGTTGTTGTTGGGGCCAACGGCGGCGGATGCTGTTCTAGGGGGTTTGTGAGGTACCCGGCTAATGGGAGCGAGAGCTGGCTTGGGGGACTCACAATATCTTGTTACCCCACTAGGATGGCAGGGGACAACAGCAAGCGGTCGAACGGCGTGAGGCAGCTCACTTGGATCCGGTAGGTGGCAACCCCGTACGGGCGCTTTTTCGGGGGACCACGCTGTCCCACACCGCGGCCACTTCCGAAAAGATAAACCGATCTGCGACCGACGGCCCCTATTCGTACTTCAGTTGCTGGTAGTCGAATACAAAGGCCTTCACTAAACAACGCAGGCCTCTGTTAGCGTCCTGCTACGATTACGGACTTCAGTTTTCGTAGACAGACAGACGGACAGTGGTCGAGCGGCTATTACCAGCTACTAGAAGTCAACTCGGCAGATAGAACAAGAGGCTGGGCCACACGTAAAGGACCAGGTCCACGTATGCCCAACAGCTATTATTAATGTGCGATTTCGAGTGCCAGCGTACCGAAGACCAGCAGAAATTCTTAATCGTTTTTTGTTGTCACGATTCTTCGATGTCACGGCGGTTGGCAGCCTCTTTCTCTTCGTAGGCAGAACTTCGTGTTTGCCGTTCGTCCAATTGACGTTTTTTCCTTGTCTTTGCTGTGCTCTTCGTCGTAGTCATCGGCTACTATGTCAATCAGTCAGTGTGCCGGACAGCTAACTAACTGATTAATAGCGCTGGTAGTTGGGTCGATGATCTGACGCCCGATCAGTTGGTGCTTGATAATCAAATTCGCTGAAGGCGCAGGCGTAAGTTTCACTGGCGACGACGCCACCGACAGCAGCTGCGACTGCTGCGATAATGCACCCCTCAGCCAACAGCAGCAGCACCACGCGCACAAAAATCGCGGTGTTTCGACAAACAGCTTTACCTTTTTACTGTGTAGCTGAGACCGCGTTTGTCTGCTGGGCTCGGCTTGTTGTCTTGCCGCGTCTATCCGTCTATGTGTCTGTATGTATATTAGTGTGTTATTGGTATTGCTGTCGTGGGTAGTGTCACTGCTATAGCAGATTAGCTCCGCCACACAACATCACACAGGTAGCCAGCAATACAGGTCGCGCACGGGCCGTTGCTTGTCAGCGGAACGGCCGCACCACAGAAATCGATGTCTTGGTCGTTGAGACACACTGAGTCTACCGGCCTAGACTGCTACAGCTATTGAGTCGTGGTAGTAGCATATACCTGTTGGTTAGTTTCTTTTGCCCTTTTCTCCGTCGCCGTCGGCGTTTCGGAGGCAAAGCAACCTCTACTGTTGTTGTTGTTATTGTCACTGCACGCTGAATGTCGAAGATCGCCGGCGCTCGATGAAATGAATTTAGGGCCGCACGAACCAGCGAGACGCACGCGCAAGTAGTTGTACAGTTTCACTCTTATGACTGCTGCTATATCGAGTTGAAGCTCTAATCAGCCTGGCTAGTCTCGCTGCCTGCTTTCTAGTGGGTCGTCCACCAACTGTTGTATTGGTCGCAGCCGAAGGAAGCGACCGCCGCTACGACGGCCGTAGCGGCGTGTGAAGATCTGCGACGGCAGCGTCGCACCACCGTTACAGCAGCTTTTTTGCAACTTCGTGCTGCTACCAGGCTAATGGTGATAATGGTGCGTGGCGATGGTCGTTGCAACCGCGGCGGAGATAGACGCCGTTGTCGTCTTGTGTCTCAGCTATTCGTAGTCTCTTCGCAGTGTATGATTACCTTCCTGCATGGCCCATAGCCTAGGCGTTGCGCGCAGGACACTTTTGGTCGTCTTGCCCACTAGACGCTCACTTGCCTACCATATTTTTTTTTTTTAATACATATATGTATATATAGATATATGTCACACTTTCACTTCGTCAGGGTCCATTTTACACCGCATGTTAATTAGAACCATCTGTGGTTGTGATACAGTCGCTGCCATTTCTTTTGTTGTTGACGTCAAAATTTAATTTGACATCGTATTTGGAGTTGAATGCTGTCGAGGCAGTCGACGGTGCTGTCGTAGCCGAGAACTTTTCGGTTTCCTGATGCGTTTTTCACAACACGAAGCAACGAGGCTTTCCGGTTGTTTATTCCTTGTGTACACTTTTTCCTCTTACTGTCTGTAGCTTTTGTGCTTCCTTAACTTTTCCCCTTCCATATCTTCTCTTTATTGGGTGTGTGATTTTTCCGTTCTTTGCGAACTACTCTTATTCGTATTTGTTTTCAGCTCGCCTTTTGTTGGCTTCAACCTTGCACCGCGCTATTTCTCTCTGCCTTTTAATGAACTTCGAATCGTAGCGGCATATAGTAGTGGTAAGCGTCGTCCATCGTTAATTCTGTTTCAACCCAAGTTTCAATATGGTGTTTGCCTATCCTACATAATGCCTATGGCATTATGTAGGATAAACATATCTCTCCTATAATAACCTAGGAATATAAAATAAACCGAACGACATCGATAGCCGGGGGATAGCGTGTCGATTTGGAGGCCTCGTAACGGTAGCAAGATGGTAATACTGTGACTGCGTTGTCGATATTTTGGCCCCTGTTTGGCCTTGTACAGCTCACGACCGCGTCCCTGTGGTCACTTGGGTGCCCGCTGCAGTTCGTGTAACTTTACGCCGTCTTGCTACTTTTACTTCAGGAGCTAATTGTGACATCTAGCGTTGACGTAACATGGCTAACTGATGGGTCCTTCGCCGAGCGGCCGTTTGACGTTTGATATACCCGATGTTGTTGTTACCGTAGTTGAAACTGCAGCTTTAGTTTTGCTTGCCCTTGCAGCTTTTGCGTCGGCGACTGCTGCTGCTTTTTTTCCTTCAGCTGCTGTTGTCCGAACGGCTGTTGCTGTGGCTCGTTACTATTCTGCTCAAAGAACAGGGGCTCAGGTTGCCCTGGCCGACTGGAACTCCACTCCGGCAGCAATACGTTATGCCCGCCGGAGAGTAGTCTGACGGGGCAAACTCGAGGGCAATGCAGCTGCCTCATTGCAGGCAGGTCCGTCCGTCGTTAAGTTATTCGGCACTGCATGCGGGCAGACGTCACAATGATGGATACTTCCAAACGGTACACATATTGGCATCATACACAGGAAAAGGGCAGGTATTCCTATAGGTGCGCTGCTAAGATCGTTGCACTATCCTGCTATCTATTAATCTTGCGGATATTTCCAAATTTCTAACTGCTGTTGCTGCCGTTGTTCGCCCTGGTTTACTGGTGTTGCAGATGTCCTGCATATATATTACCGTAATGTGTCTTGTGCCTTCGCGCTCTCTCTTCTAACTCAATATGTCGTCGTTTTCTCTTGTTTGTTTCGCCTGCGGCTGCGTTTGGGTCGTAGGTGCGTCCATAATGAAGGAGGCGCCGAAAAAATCAGCGGCAACACACGCTAGTTCCACCGCTTATACTCTTTCCTCTGCGTTCTCGCCACCGCCTATTTGCGTTGCCGTACACGTCGCTGATTAAGTACAGGACAATGTGCTATAAACGCTTGATCGATGCGAAGCAAAAAAAACACAACAACAATAATAACAACGACAACAACAACAATAATAATAATGTCGACGCTGTTGCTTGTTCGTATTTGCCGTTCGTTCGCACTGCTTTCCGCTTGGTAGTAACACAGCGGCAGTTCGAGCGATAGGATCAGTTATACGCTACACTGCTGCTGGTGACTCGTGGCCATTCGTAGCAGCAGAAAGGACGACGACGCCTGTAACTGTATTTGCGTGATAATACTCTCTAGGCATCTGCACTTCTCATCTTGGTGGAGAAACAGAAGCTACTAATTAGAAGTAGACGAAGCAGTTGTTGTTGAAATTTCAGTAGCCATACCAGTAGCAGCTGTGATCGCCAACACCGGCTGAGAAATGACGAGTCGCGGACGTGTTGATTGTGGAGCACTCCAGGTTGCAGTAGTAGCCGGAGCACGAACACTTGTTGTTGTTGTTGTTGTTGTTGTTGCTGCTGCTGCTGCTGCTGTTGTTGTTGTTGTCGTTGTTGTTGTTGCTGTTGCTGTTATTGTTGTTGTTGTTGTTGTTGTTTTTCTTTTGTTGTTGGGGTGGCACAAACCTTAGTTGTTGTTTGGTAGGGGCAGCGATATAGCGCACAAGTATACACAGGGTTGTACAGACTTTCTGTATATGTGTTCTTCTCCGTCGCTGCTGTGCTGCCACTAACAAGAACAGCTCTTCGTCGGTGTTGTTGTTGTTGTTACAGTAGCCGAAGAAATAGTAGAATAGTATTTGTGGTAGCGCTTGCAGTAGATGGTAATACTAGTTCTAATGTCGTTTTAGGACCCGGAGGTAGCACTCGAGCAGTTGCTGCTGTGGTTTTGGTTACAGACGGAGAACGACGGCGGCAGGCCAGCCCGCTCGCTCGAATTGAGTTTGGTGGTAGGGGCGGCAGTTGCTGGCAGCTCCGGCTGCTGCTACTGCTACCCAGTTCGCTCGAAAAGGGACCAGTCGTCTCCCGACCCTCTCACGCACCGCGCGCAGGCCCTCGAAGGAGGTTGTTCGCTGCTCGTTCAGCTGCTGCCCGCTGCTACCGCTCAGCTTGCAAACCCTGCTCCTCTTCTGCTCGCTGGTTGTTCGGCTCTGCCCAGCCCGCCACCACGACCACACGGCCTGTCTGTCTGTCCGCCTGGATGTTTGACCGTCCGTCTGCCTTTCTGCCAGTCAGTACCCACTCGGCTCGCCAGCTCTCTGCTGTCGCCGCTGCTGCTGGTGGCGAGGCACTGCTTGTAGCACAGATCTCTCGTCAGAAGCAACTGCTAGATAGACAGACACGCAAAAAGGCAGAGAGAAGCAAAGCAACGGAAGGCAACGAAAGCCGACCAGGCTACAGCATGAGGCAGAGAGCGCAGAGGAACATCGCCGCTACACACAGACGGACGGATGACCAACCGGCCGGCCGGCTTGCATGATGCACGAATTTCGCCTGGCTAAGACACGACTCTCAGAGAAGGGCACATACATGTAGGTCCGCACTCACTCAGGCAGGAGTTGAACACAAGAGTATGGCAAACACACGGCCGTCAGGAAGCTCACATCGTAGACAGACACCGAGTCAGACGCTTGGATAGATCTTGCACACTCATACACCTCGTAGAGACACACAGTCAGGAGTGCGCAACAGACTCTGACCTTCTCAGACGTACCGGCACACAGCCACATTGGGAGAGAACCGGTATGAGAGCGGTTAGCAAGGGCTCTTACACCTGCATCCCGACCAGCAGACTCAAGATTATTATGGTCCGCTCTTGGCTTTGTCAGCAGCAGCAGTATGTGCACTACGGGGATGAGCTGCGTGTAATAGTCGTTGAATGCCGGCTGTCATAGATCCGGTCTGTTCGGTAGTATATAATCCGAGCAGGCGGTTCTATACGTGCGTACGACACTTTTATTTCAGGCCGCCGTTAGGCACTGAAAGCACCCTTGACAGGCGACAACAAGGCTAGTTTGCGCGCGCATGCCAATGACCCTCGCAGCCCCTCTCGACAGGACCCTTTGCAACGCTCCCTGGTGACTGGCCTGGTCAACTCCCTACAGGTGGTTGTTTGATCGCCACGGGTATTTCGGTCGCGGTAACGAAAATGGCAACGGTGATTACAGCAGTAGCACAAACGGGGCAGCTGCCTCCGGTGCGTGCTTCTTCCTGTTGCCTTGACTGCCTGCCTGCAGCACGCATCACCGATTGGTTATCTTGCTTAGTAGCGTCTTGGATTGCCTCGGCAGGTGGTGTCTACATCTGTGACAATAGCGGCCGACACAGCCAGCTACTGCTGTTTGCGAGTGCCTGTGCCCCCGACAATCGCTGGCTACGGCCGACCCAAGTCATTTGTCAGTGTAGAACGATCTATTTCTTACGCCCCATTTTTCGGCGACACTTCCCGTGCAAATGCATTCCGCTGCACGCCGTAAATACGGCTGGTCTGTCAACCCGTGGGCAAGGGCTAACTCAGTTACGACTGGTGGAACCGTCGCGGTAGGCTGTCGAAATTGACACATCATCATTTCGGATTTGCAAGCAATGGCGGTCAACACTTTGCTTTACGTTGATCATGGGCGTTACAATGCCAACGATTTTGTCAATGACATTACGAGCAATTTTAAATACAATACTGTACACGACTGCGATCAACAAAAAGGTTCACTCCGGAATTAGCCAATGCAAACAATATATCATGCTCGTCTTATAGAGCTAAACATGTGCTAGCAAGAAATAGTACACAGGGCAATTGAAATGATTCAATTTTACTATAAGATACGCTACAATAAAGACTACAGTTTTGCATACCGCGATCACTCCAAAGGTAGATAATAGGAAAATTGATCATGGAACATTGGCTGTCACAGGATCAAAGGGAAAAACTGCGTCCGCTAGCAACCAGACGTAGCGCTCTCGAAGTCCCCATCCCTAACGTGAAATAAAGCCTTAAAAAAGTGTTTGCTCTCTCGCTGTTTTGTAAATGGCGCAAGGGTTGTTCGATCCGACGCTGCAAATTATTCACAAAAGCACTTGCATCCATTTGTCTGTAATACCAATCAACCAGAATACATTCAAATTTACTGTACATCATAGGAATAACCTGATGGTTGGAAATAGTGTGTCAGTTTGTTCGAAGTATCGATCTAATGAACCATGCTTACTTAGGTTCGATGTAATGCCACTGGATGATGTGCGCCTCGCGTTCGAACCAGACTATACCACACTTCACTATCATGCTTTTTCAAGCCATGCAGGACCCTCGATGCGCTTAGGATGTATTTAAATATCAAACACCTGTGCATAGCGTGTCTTATGTCTTGCACAGTATAAAGGGGATTTTTCCCTTTATTTGTCTTATTTTAATGATAAATTGAAACGAATGCTTTGACATAAGTCAAACGACCCTTCAATTTAATTGCAAGCAAGCAGCACACAACAACAGTTGTAAGTGACGTATGATTGTCGCTTCACAATGGCGGGATCCGCTCACCACAGACCCCACAGACTCACGCTGTTAAAATCCCTGTCGACACGAGCATCTGAACTGCTGCACATGTGCCGTTGAAAACATCTGTTGCCTTCTTACCTTATCGTTGTTCGATGACGTCACTAGCCACTAGTTGCGTCATTCGTAACAGGCGATTGCGACGTCACCGAAAAGATACACGTCACTTACATACACTCGAGGACAAAGGAGGCAGGCAAATATGCCTGATCGGACCATGCACGTCTCCTGAATCTTATACCTTTGTCTTAACGACAAAAAGAAGCAATAGCGCTTCAGCTTTCACGGTTACACACAGGAACGGGAGTCTTCAGTATATCTTCTCGGATGCTGGGTGACATAACACGTCGTAATCCTCCAGAGAATGAGCTGACAATTTTAATAAAATACAATGGATCTGCAATTATTCTGTAAAGGTAGGTTTACAATAACTATTAGCGATAGGGAGATTTTAATACCGACTGATAAACAATTTACTATTTCAAGAACAAAAACAAGCAAAAGCTTAGCAATTGGAAAGGTTGAAACAGCAGCGGTCGTTTGAATGTACTTGATGGTATCCAACCTGGTACTAAAAAAGTAATCTCTGAGCGTATATTGTCGATATAAAAGATCTAAGTCGATAAATCTCTTACTGAAGAATCATTACTAACTTGAAAATAACTAATGTTTCAGATCATCTACGAGATGCGCCTTTCTCCATAGTAAATAAGTATAAACAGTTCTATGAGAAGCTACATTTCATTTATCAGCATCCACTCATTATGAGTTGTTGTCTGTACAGAACACCGAATTTAGAAAAGCAAAAGGAGTATTTTTGGCTATACATGTAATATTCTGTATGGGAAATATAAGGATGCTCGCAGGGATCGTTACGTGATTTTTATTTATTGCTTCCTTATCGTCCATATGTTGATGATTAACTGTTGTCCGGTTTGACGAATGTGGGCTTGTCATCGTTTCGTGTTGGCCGCAAAACGTCTCGTGCGCTTCGGTCTAGTATGTCGAATAGCAGAAAAATGAATTTTCCGAAAATGGCTTTAACGCTGCTTCAGAATTGATTATCAGCGAGTGAGAGATTGCGGAGAACAGTAACCAAAAATTGCTATTATTTTTTTAATAACGCTATATTATATCCAATAGAAGCTTTTAGACGATGAATTTTAACATTGTTTCATTCTATTCGACGGCGTCAGAATAGTGGGCTACGTTTTAAGCAATTGCATAGATGGTCTAGACCATACAGTCGTAGAGAAGGGTTTCCTAGATGATGATAGTTGGGGTAGATGGAACCTGAGCTCGAGAGGTTCACAACCTCGGTCAATATCAAAAGCTCATTACGGGTTGCCTAAGCGACAATCCTGACAGGTTCGCAATGTCGATCAGTGTCTCAAGGCATCAACAAAGAGTAGCTGCTATGCGATGGGCAAATGAACAATTGAATTGATTTACCGTTCTTGTGCTTTACTTAGTAAATACAGTATGCGCTGCCTTTAGTAGGACTCGTTCAAATTACTTCTTAGACAAGATAAAGATAGCGAAAACAGCAGAAAATGCAACATCGATGATGTATTTTATAAACTGCATATCACACAAATTATAGAGACCAATTCCACCTCCCGCAAACCTCACGTGTATTATGAGATCCGGAAATCCACAAGCAAAAAAAAAATAAACAGATACAATATAAAGATTGCTGGAGTAACATTTTGTTGATGTTGTAATAAGGCACAAAAAGGGACGGCAAAATACATGGAAAATTCATTTAAGAAAACGTAACCAAAATAAAACTTTGATTATATTTCACCAACCGATCAGGAGTTTAAATATAGCGTAGTCTTTTCAACTCTTTCCGGCTATCTTTTCTGTAGAAACAAATCGCCGGAATTACTTTTTTAGTATACTATCATAACCCTACCAGTTAGAAGGGGTAGCCAGGGCGAGTCGTGTTAGACTTACATCCGTAGTGCCATTTATAATTAATTTGGAATGTTAGTCCTCATTCATATTACTTCTAAGTACTCGGTCTATTATTAACATATAAATCAAAGTCCATATGATATTCGTCCATATGATTCGTTCTGACCAATACCATATAATAAAATGGTTTCTGAACCCTCATAGTGAATAAGAATAGAGTTACACTGCGCCAACATTACTGCATAGCCAAGATATGTGGTTTTTATGTGGTATGTGTGGAAATTTCAGAAAAAAAACAATTGCACAGAAATACAAACATAAGAATAATATAACGGGGTCAGTGGAATTAATTATCTTGTCGGCCTCTGCGTGTTCATTCTATGGCACGTTACACTTCAGAAAAAACTCAGGAGCTCATTCGGTAGTTATGGGTTGATTTTGTTAAATCAACTGCACCTATCCAACCTTATTTACGCCCGGAAGAAAAAACATCTGTAGAAACAGCTTATTGTTGTGCATATAATTTTTTTGTTCCTTTACAGTCGTTTGGTCTAGTCAATTATACAAGTACGTACATTTAGCAAGTATATAGTACAAGTAGATGCTATTTCCTGAAATTGTGAGCATTGCTTCCGACTTGTCTTTTATGCGTTCACAGTAATGATGAAGACGTTAGCAAAGTGGTCGCTGGAGGGGAGAGAAGTGATGCAGCAATTTCAGAGGACGGCTTTAACCTTCATTGCAGCCTGCTCTAGGCGTTTTTGGCTATTGTGTGTCTTTACTGAAGTTTGATGGGGCGAGGCGTAGTAAAAGCTAAGACCCAGCAGATCCGACGGCAATAAATAGACATAAATCGGGCAGGATAATAGAGAACGCCGGCGTCACCGTCAATATAGACGCCCAGAGAGCGACGCCTAGAGGCGCCAATATCAACGGCAAAGCAACAAACACAAATGGATAACGATACAGATTCCTATCGGCAACTACTACGACGACACTGACACCAACGATAGAGTCATCCATGAGAGATTTCCATCCAGACTCTCATTATGCGGCGTAGTATAACATTGCTATAGGGCTATTACAAGCAATTTACTGAGCATAGGAAGAGGACGGGTAATTGTTGGATTGAACGAGAGGTAACCAAGGCTGGTAGGCAGACGGGCAATGGCCAACGTTTATCGCCTGTTGTCCATGGAAATGGATGGCACAAGCCGAAGGAGCAGGAAAGCGAGGAGGGCATCTTTTAGACGTAACGATGATAACGACAGTGAGGTTGATGATCCCGGGGGTGACAACGAAGACGAGCTCGATAGGAGCCCATAAAACGATGATTGTCGGTCGCTGGTGCAATGCCGATACAAGACGACTGGCGTCGTAAATTGGAGTAGGATCCAGCAGGGATACAGGGAAACAATACGCAGGGACAACAGTGCAGCGACAGTGGTACTGAGTATGGTCGAAGATGTTATCAGCAATCAGTGTACCTAAAGAATGTAAGGCGTTATCGTCATACGAATATGAGGCCCTGAGTGAAATATATAAATTATATGCGTACTCGGATGAAATACTAGCCCAAAGAACTGCCGGCGACTGCGAACGATTTCGCTAATTGATCTTTTTCCAAAAAAAAAAATAAATAAAGCCGTGCATTCATTGCCTTATAGAATGTTAAGGGATCTAAACACCTTCATTTCTACGCGAACGAAACCGCTGCGAGGTACCACTTATGTGAGTTGCACGAAGATCCCAACGTTTGTTTCTATAGGACTAGGTTAACCCAGGAGGAGGAGACCTACGAACCAAGCAAAGCACTGTACGTTTTCGCTCAGGTCGAGAGACAATTGTAACGCGGCTCTAATTTTGTAGCAGAAATAATTTTTTCAGTTTATTTTCGTTTTTACATGACTAGACCAGTGAAAATACATAACTGCCGCATATAGGAACATACAATTCCTCACGTCATTTACGGAAGAGACGCTTCATCAAGCTAAAGTAAACGTATGGTGCGGACCCTATGCAGGAAGTATGACTGGATTGAGTTGTTTTCTTTACTTGACTGTAAATGGTTCTTGACACACGAATATGCTAAAGCTGTGATCAAAACTGGTTTGAGCAATAGGTGGCTTCAACAAGACGATGTTAGCTTCCATGACGAATCTGAGGCGCTGAGGTTGATGAGGAAAAGTTACACGAACGCAATTTTTTTCTGAAAAACACGCGTAGCGTCGCGGCCCTGTTTGACGATTTAACACCATTAGATTTTTCCCGTGAATTCTCCCTATGAAAAGAAGAAGCAAATGTTATAGCACTAGGTCTTTTATAAATGTCGAAATAAGAGAGTGCACCCAACATGGAACTCTGGCAATTACGCCCAATGTATATTTAAAAGATTACTGCAGTTTTGTAATTGTTTTTAATTTATTTTTGAAATACAGAGAAATCACAAGGCAATAGCCTGAACAACATAAAGGCAACGCGTTGAAAACATAAAGGCAAACATTGCAGCCTGTAGTATTAACCTTCAGTTGCGTCTGTTAAACAAGCTGGTATCATCAATCCCTGTACAGAGGATAGGCGAGGCTGTATTATTATCACATCTCCTTAACTACTTTGTAACTCAATCGAACCGGTCTATCGATACGTTTTTACAATGTTGTCATTGCATGATTTTTACTCAGAGTTATTCTCTGCAGAGTATTTCAGGTATATATGCTGATCCCTGGTATTAGGTCGGTTTTGTGGTAATCAGCTATCTTACGCACTAATTACCTATTAGTAATTAAAGCCTAATGAGGTCAGATTAGAACTTCTTCCACAAGGAATGGCGCTTGATACTCGTTTATAAGTACAGTCGTTTCGAAACCCAGTAGTCCAGTAAAATAGAAAAACTTAATAACAATTTAAGTTTTGCGTATGATAAACGATGGTTCGAGTCGCACAGAGACAGTATTTCACGCATACAAGCGTATTCATATATCCAAACGCTTGCTTCCAGGCAGAACCGATTGCTTTAAATATATTGATTTTCGGCTTCGGCTTGGTTTACATCGCATCAGTCATATATAAATTATTACATTACACAATTTGTATGTATAAACCAAGCCATTATTATTTGATTTTTACTCATCCCGACGTTATCGCCATTCGCGCCATCAGTTACCGCCATCAGTTCCATGTGTTCGATAATCTATTGTTACAGTCTTCCCCGTTTCAGTTGTCGTTTAAGTCCGGAATGGCCAAACATTGAACAAATGCAGCTATCTATGTACTGTTCTGAGGGGCTAAAGCAAGTTGACGGCTGCGTTGTATCGCAGTTGAGTCTATGCAAGACGTTGTTTTGCAGCGCTAATTTGCAGCCACGAGAGAAAACTTGTGCAAGTGGCTTTACAGCAGACGATTTTCCGGCTCTAGGTAATCTAAGCCTCATTACTAGAACGTCGAAAACACAATAGGCTCCTACAAGGCTGTTGGATATCGGGGTTTACAGCGCGATCTAAAGAATATAGTAAGTGCTGAGCATCAAAGTTCGGCCCCCAAGAGAGGGAAACAAATCAGTAATTGCGTCCTAGCTATCTGCGTCATAGTAACACCGATTGAACAAAATGTCCTTTTTCAAGTGAACTCCATCAAAGAAAAGTTATACGGCCGTGAACACAGTGTGTAAGTATCAAGTGTTATTATAAAAAATTCGTCTCCTACACACTATGTGCGAACCAGGATGTTGCTACACGAGAGATGAATAGGACCAGTTAAACATAATCAACCAACGCGATATATCATCCACCGGTTATCTCTTCAAGCTTGTCTGTATGCAGGTTGTGAGTGTATTTCATGCTAGCTAATTTAAAATTCCGTCTACAAAGAGGATGCCACCAGTTGCAAACCCTTTTCATTAACTAACTCCCTATGAGCATAAGCATTTATTGCAAAGCACATAATAAACAATTTGACACAATTACCCTCATTCGGATTTTATCTATTCACTAGAAGATACGTTAATTTTGCCTGTCGTTCGACTGCACTGACGTTTTTCCGTACCAATGTCAAGTCGCTTATATGATCAATTGCTTGTGTACTGTTCAGCGGTAACGTGTGCCACGTCTCACACAGAAAAGAACGTATGTATCATATATAATGCATTCGCTCGTCGTTGAAGGGCCCTCATACAACCAGCTGCACATCCCCGACGGTTGCAGTACAGTGTGTAAAACTTGTGTTTAAGATTACTGCCGGAGAAAGTCCGTCCCGCTCATAATAGTTCGGGCTGATATGGCAAAAGCAGGCAGAGTTTTACAGAGTGTTTCCGTGTGCTGTTTGCAATCCCGCAGTATAATAGAGACGCGGTCTAAGAACGCACCGAGTTATTAGAGCCCTCAGAAGCGGCTCTGAAAGGCAGTTACTCTGACGATCAAATTTGCATTGCACTTGAGCCATCCTGGTGCAGTTAGCTCGCCTCGCTTTATTTGTCTGCTTCGATAAACAGGTAGTGTATCATCGAGACTTCAAACGTTTTTTAACAAGTTGTTTTCACACTCTGAAGACACTAGGCGTACGCACCTAACCGTAAAAGCTTTGCTACCTCACTCAATCATACCGATGCTCGTTCAAAATGGAGCTGTCTCAGCTCGTGAATTAAATATCATATTAGAAACTGAAAAAGACCTAATTCATAAAAAAATACAGAATATATGAAGGTGATATCCAGTAGTAACCTTCATTTCATCTGTGCTTTGTATTAGATTCATACGCATGTATACATGTAGCATCGTCCAACAGTCAGATAAAAGGCACGGTAAGTTATTGAAAGGCAAAATATAAGCTTACCATTAGAAGCAAATTAATTCATAGTTAAGAG